ATTTTGACACCAATTTTGTTTTAGAATTTTGATTAGCAACGATTGGGATCGTACTGAATCAGTAGTAATTTTGAAAAGCCGAAATTAAGGCGATTTGTTCGTAAAGCTTTCTGCAAGTCCGAAATAAATTTTTTCTTTTTTTTGTTCGTGATAAGATTGGTAGTTTAAATCAATAAAGTGATAATTTTAGAATTTTGGGAAAAGACAGTGGTATTACTGATTCTGATAGTTGCTTTCATCTGTTTTTTAATCACTGCGATTAAAGGAATTCAGTGGCTTTGTGGAAAGAAGAAGCCAGTGAGTTAGCAAATTTTTTCTGTTAGATATTTGCTCATAACTGGGAACTTTGTCTGTCTGAAATTAAGTAGCGATCATCTTCGATTTGTGCTTTTTTTGTCAGTGAAAACCGAAATTAAGGCAATTGTAGTAAATAAATTTAAAGCTTCACGGATTCGAATTTGTTTAGGTTTAATTGCAGCTAATTAGCAGCTATTTTCAGATTTTCAATATTCTTGATGAAGAAAGGCTTCTAATATTATCAAATAACGAAATACTGCTTATGGAAACAGGAAATGATCTCTGTTACGTTAACAAACCGCATCATGCTAAATCGAAGAAAGTGTATCATTCGATATCACACTTTTAAACGAAATCAATTTAAAACAATAAATGACCAATAGCAAATAAATGAATAACTTAAATGTAAACACTTATTAAGTTAAAAATTAAATTCAGTGCATTCGAAAGATTGTAAATTTTGAAATAATGAAAAAGTCTCAATTAACGAAAGGTACCATTCTGTTTGACACTTCTTTGTGCTAATTATAGTTGACCAATAATACTTTCGCCATTCAGTTTTATAATAAAGCATGGATCCATAACCATTAAGAAAAGGCGAAGAGGTCATCACACATGTGAATTTTATGTAACAATCATCCCTTCCATGTGATTTGCTCAAATAGAACTGAAATGTTGTTTAATTTCATGTCAACAGCGCTTGCATTATTTCTACCATAAAATATGCAAATTACATGTAAACCAAGAAGTTTAGTTTACCGATTTCCTAACTTACAAATAATTTTAAATTCTACTGCAAATAATGTCAGCATATGAAATAACATACAATAATTTAACATGAAACCTTTCATTTCGTTATTTAAATTTTTATTTAAAGAAAGACCTCTTTGAAATGCTTGAAATATGAGTGCATTTCAATGGAATCCTTAAAATAAATATAATTTTTAGATTTAATTAATAAGAAGAAATAAATCTGTAATATTACAAGAGGAATGATTTTGGCTGTAAAGGAATTTGCGCGGCCTGACCTTTGACCCTGCTGCTGAAACAGCGTTGCTGACGGGTAATATTTAACAAGTAATGAAAAGGTCAAAGATAGATGGATGATCGGAAATAAATGGTGCAGTATTACATAAGGAATGATTTTGATCATAATTGAATCTACGCCACTTGATCTTTGACTACATTAAGACAGTAATATTAATGATGTTAATGAAGCAGTTAATGAGAATGATGTAACAATAAGTTGGAAAACCATAAAATATTTCAAACTGGAAAATTTAAAGCTTTTATTCCTTACAATTCACAGCTATTAATAGAGATATATTAAAATTTATTAATTTAAATCTGATAAAATTGGCAATATCTACTAAAAAAAATATAAAATAAAAATTGGGAATTGCTGGATTCGTTATTAGAAGCAGTAAACCGAATAAATAGACGTGAAATTCAGTTTATCGCTTCAGCTTAATCAGTCGATGTACAATCATAAATTAAATTATCTACTAATTAATCTGCTGTTTCTTTTATTACAAAAATTATTTTTTGGGATTGCAGTTCTACCATCCCTGCGAAACATAAAAAGTGCGTCGCTACCTGACGTTGCCCTCTGCTAATTGCCAATTTTGATTACTATTCCATCTTATATTGCCCGCCTTATTTCACATATAATTTGGTTCCATGGAATAATGCTATTAGTTAACATCGGGAAATACAAAACATTTATAAATACTATTGCAATTCCTTTACTTTCTTAACTTATCTTACTACCAAATGATGAAAGTTAATTTTACAATAGCATTGGTACAATACCATTACTATCTCGAACATACTTAGGTACTCCAAACAAAAAGATTAATAACAATAAGAATAAATATCTTATGGCTAACAGGTAAACTTAAAAAATTATAAAATTTCTTTATTTTCAGACAGTTTGATTCCAAGAAAAATATATATATATATGCAAAAAAGAGAGTGAAAATGAATTATTGATAACCGCTAGATGAATACTTAGGAAAGTTTTTGGATGGATTATGAAATATGAAGAAGTGACATTTTAAAGAATGGAACAAAGAAAAAGAATAAAAGGAAAGATGGACCGGGGATAAACAAGAAGTACGCGAAGATGACCGATAAGTTGGTTGTAAATAATAGAAGTGGACAATGGGATAGAAATGGACAACGGTAAGAGAGAGGGAGAGAGAGAGAGAGAGAAAATGAATGAAGAAAAAAGGAAATGAATGGGATGAAAAATATTCATATTTTTGGTTATTTGAGAATAAAATTTACTGCAAACATTCATTCTTTCATTAAATTTATTAGTTTTTCACTCGAATTTCGATTTAAATTTACGATTGAAAAGTATAGTGTTGAAGTTTTGAATTAATTGTCTTTAGTTGAGTTTAATGTTGGAAGAGAGAAGGAATTCCGCTTTCTTTATTCTTATGGTATTCTTGTATAATGTTGATAATACCGGAGTTTAGATGGACTTGTATATTGCTTGAAATAATTGAACTGTAAATTTAGATTTTGATAAATTTTTTTTCTTAAATTTATATATATATATATATATCCGCTAAAAAATAACTTGTAATATATGTAATCATTATTTACTGTTACTGCTTTATGAAAATTCATTTTTACATAACTAATTTTCTTTGGATTAGAATCCAGCATGTTTCTTCGACTACAAATACGAAAACAAAATTAAATGTAGAAATGGAATCGTAAAAAAAAAATGTTATTTCCAGTAATAAACTATTATCCGCTAAATAATAACTTGTAATAACAGAATTAATTTATTGAAAATGTAGAAGGAACAATTTGCTTTACTGATAAATAAAATCATTTATTTAATTCAGCGAATTAAAAATTATATATTATATCTTTTGCTCATTACCCGCAACATAATAATTATTATATCCTTGTTAAGCTTATTTGAAATTTCAAAGATAATATTAAACTACACTTTGATATAATTCAAACATTACGGTGTACTTCAATTACTTAAAGTAATTTTACCTAAATAAATTTAATTAAAGTTCATCGTATTTGCTCAAAACATGATTGCGAAAATATTTAAATTGTCTTGAAAATTATAAAATGTTTATTTTCAGACTTTTCCATGCGGCTCATTCAAAGTTTACATGTACGAAGGTATTGTCGGTCACTTCTCATTAGCATTCTTTTGCAACATAATATACAGACAGTATTGTTAGCAGAAATTAAAGAAGGTTCACTTATTAATTAATTAAATAATGCAACACTAATATGAAATCATGCCAATTTAATCATGATTAGTACTTTTATGTTATTCAGTTCGTTTTGACAACTAAACCAGTAAAGTAAATGTATTACATTGTAATCTTCTTATTATTATTGTATATGATAATCATCAGCCGATTACTTAGCATATTTGATTTAGGACATTACTGTAGCAGAAATTTCCAATTTTCAGTCACAATACCTTATTAATTAAGCTTCTGATAGATTATCTGATTCTTATGCTTGAATTTTCTCGAAGTATTAAGTATATCGTCGTGCAACCAGTTTTTGTCATTCTCGCACTTTACTGTATTCAGAATAGTTTTTTTATGAGTATCAACTCATATAATATTTGATAATCCTTAAGAAAATTGAAATCAGCGGAATAAATTTAATAAATTTCCATTACTGCTTCTAATTACAAAATTTGATTAATGCGTTGTTTATTATAATTTATGTTTTTAGTGAATTTTTAGTGAAATGTACTTCGGATAGCAAGTGTCACAGTAGTATAGTGCAATGCGAGAAATTTTGCAGGTATAATTTTATTTCCATCTGATAACAGATAAACATTGCTACAGAAAGGGATAATAATAGTTATGTGAGCAGTAATTGGAAAAGTTAGTAATACACCTACGTATTGATTCGTTATTATTTGTGCTAAACATATTCCAATATTCCAAAAATGTTAGGAAATCATGAATGATATCGCTTGAAATACTCCCAAATACTCACTGTTTTTTACATTTTTTAATTTAAACTTAAAAAATTGAAAAAATTGAGCATTTGAGCATAATTTCAATTTACTAATTACTATTTCCTAATATATTCACTCGCTACTTCCAGAATGTTAAATTTTGCAGTTGGATTTATTCAAATAGTAATTATACTGGTTGCAATTTATTTAGTAATAAAACATTACACACATTTAATTATACCTTCCGGAATAACTGCTACTATTTTCATTCGTTGGGCTGTTGATACGCTTAACCAGTAAAGTTTCCAGTAAAAAAAAATTTTCTAGTATTTTTAATGAAAAAAGAAATTTTTTTTAAATACTAATTATCGAATCATTTAATACAACAAAAAATAAAAAGTCGTATTGGTTTTGAAATCAAATGGATTAGATTTTGTTTTTCGGAATATATTTAGCTATACTTCAATTCAGTTTTTAAAATACAGTCTACTGCTATTCCTCTGATTCCTGTCAAAATTTGCAGAACAGACTTATCTGATTTGAACTTTTTTCACGAATTTTCAATTTTAACTGAATATTGAAGTTTCAATTAATCTTTATTTCGAAATAATCTTTTGCGGGAATATACCATTTATTACCTAAAACTTTGAGAATAACGAATATTGTGGATGCAATTAAAAGTACAGTAATCATAAAAGTTGGAAATAATGATGCGATAAGAAACAACAGTGATCAATTGATAATGATAAGGGAAAAAAACTATGAAGATAACGTGGACAAGTTAATTTCATTCGTAAGTTTTACTAAAAGCCATTAGAAAAGTTTCAGTAACTTTTGTTTTGATGTTATCATAGCAATTATTAATTGATCTAATTTCATATTTTTCATTTCATAAAGTTTTCGGAAATAGCAGTTATGAAAATTAATGATTTAAATAATTTTGGCAGTTTAATTGATCATTTTAAGATTAACCAAATTTGAAGCAATTAATTTGAGATTTCCAATAAGTGAAATATTTGAAGTAAATTTATAAATTTCAGTACCTAGATATTTTAATGATCTTATTATCTTGATTAAGGCAGTTGCGATTATTGATTTTTAAGTCATATTGATAAAGGAGATAACAAATTTCAGGAACAGACTGACTGGATAAATGAGGAAAACCAAAATACCAGACTTATTAAGAAACTATCACAATCTAACGGTTCGGCATGTTTCTTTATTTTCTAGGAAATGTTCATTTAAAATGTATTTGCAAACAAATAGAATCGTAAAAATAATATGTGGTACGAAAATTTGAAAAAAAAATTGTTCACGGGAAAATATTTCATTTCTCCCTAACGACGAAAATAAATGAAATGATTTTGTTTTACATCCATAATTGTACCAATAATGGAAGTTTGATTTTGGATTGCAACAATGCTGAAACTAATCATTGGCATTTCAATCTAATCATAATTAAATGCCAAGTTTGTATTGAAATCGAAAACAGCAAAATAATCATTTTGGATTTCTTTAAAAACTTTTCTTAAATTAAAGAAATGATATTTAAAAAATAGTTACAATAAAGGAGTGGAAATAGTAAGTGGAGAATAAATCAGTGACAATAGATAGTATACAACTTTGATGATGACAAACCAAGTAAACAATTTGTTTTAATAACTTGCTAGATTACTGTATAAAGATCAACTCCATTTATTATTTTCAACGTGCATACTTTTCTACAATTATTAATATGCTTTTAAGTTACTTTTTTTTTTTAATTTAGTCAAAGTTTAGAATATGTACTATCATCAATATAAAATAAGCAGCATAGTACAATAATTGGTAAAAATAGTTGTAAGATTTGCGAATATTTTTTGGTACATATTTTGATAAATATAAATTGCAAAAGAATAGTCAAATTTGTCCATTAAGTTTTACTTCATTTTTAAATAGATCATTCATTTTATCAAATTTATTCAATTTTTATTCTTAATTGTGATATTAATTACATTTGATCGGTAATGAATATTAAGAAGTCTTATTTCATATAGCTCAGATAATTTCAACTGAAAATTAGGCTAACAAAAACGTATTTTACGAGGTAGTTCCAGAATAAAAAAAGAATTGATCTGCTTAAAAGTTGATGGAACACATTTCCTGATAATGAAAACCATTGAGATAAATGATATAAATTTGATGATTGAATGAATTAATGAAATTATATTTATTTAATATACTTAAAATGTTTTTCAACGACGTTAAATTTAAAAAAGCAAATGTGAATAATTTTGATTAGTATAAAATTTACCGTTTTTGGTTAGAATGTCTAATTTAATGAAAAACGATCATAATTTTGAAATTTTAAAGTCTTATTTTGTCCTAATTCTGATTAAAATAAATGATTTTCTCACTATATTGTCAGATGAAAATAAAATTTTGTGATTTAGGAAAGCGTCAGTATAAAAGAAGTTCTTTGTCTGATATATAATTATCATTTTTTTTCATTATTGCTCATGATGTTATTGTGATATGTTTGAATAAAATCTGATAGCAAAATATTTTAACAATTTTCACATAAATTTACTTTTTTCAGGTTTATTTATCAGAGGAATCACTAAAGATATTACCAGTGATGTTATTCAGGTTTATTTTATGGTTACATTTTTTTTATTTTATGGACAAATCAGTTCGGCCAAATTCCTAATGTTTTTTTCTGTCAAAACTGGAGTAATTAATGAATCTTTCTTCTAATTACATTTAAATATGTGTTAATAATATTTATTATTATTGTAAATAATTTGGAAACTATGCTGACATCCTCTTCACAGCGTGATAAACAACCCAAAAAGACTCAAAAGCAACGTGAATTAAACAATGACCACAACAAGCGTCAAAAGCGGTTTTCGGCAAGAAATTCGAAACAGACAGAATGGTTCCAGTGGCCTGGTTTGTTTTAATGCATAACAATATTTAATGCTTATCGGTAATAACAGCAATTCATCGAAATGAAATGTAATTACGTTGCACAAAATTGCAGTGATGATCATTACATGAATAAATAGTGAGATTGAAAGTTGGGCAGAGATTTAAGTATTCTAAATAAATTAGGCAAATAGTGGAAAAATATTTCCGTTAATTATATATTTAAATATAGTAACAGCGGTATTTCAATTTAACTTTTCTAAATTATTTTAAATTCTTGCAGCATTTTCACAGTTTCCAGAGAGCGAGAAACAAAAGTAATACACTCCATATTTCTGATTTTTTTTATTTCGATCGTTTTTTTGAATGTGCGATAATAAAATTAATACTGAAATTATGCTATAAATCATTTTTAAATCATACTTCTTGAAATAGGTTTAAAAAAGTTAAAAATACAACAAATTTCCGGGTTATTTCATTTATCTACTTATGCTTATTACTATTAATTTTTTTCATATGTTTGAATTCTTTTTTGTGAAAAATCGATCTAAACATATTTATTTATTTTTTTTTTGCTGTATTTTATTTGCTGTAAAATTGCTTCATTTCTAATATTATTTCATTTTGTTTATCTATTTATGCTTAACACTATTAATTTTTCCCATATATTTGAATTTTCTTTTCTGAAAAATCCATCTAAAAAAACATTGGTTAACATTGCAATTTTTTGGTTTTTTTTTGATCAAAAAGTCAGCATCTAATCTTAAACATCATTTGAAAATTTGTACGATTTGCATTTGAAAAAATTATGCTAATTGATACTAATCAAATAATTAATTAATCATTTTTTTGGCAAATCAAAATGTTTAAAGAAATTTTAATGTTTTTAAATTGATATATGCATATAAAATGAGAAAAGGAGATGATATGGGGAGAAATCTTAATAATGCATAAAATGAATAATTAATTATATGACAAATGTTTGTCCTTGTCAAATGACAACACAAAAATTTTCCATTCTGGGAAGAAGAGTTATCATTATCACTATCATTATCAAGACCAATATCAATAGTGTTATCATTATTATTAACAATGTAAAAACTAACAAACTGGAATGATGAAGTAAATATATATATATATATATATATATATATATATTTGTTATTTGATTGAAAATTTGTTTTAAAAAATTTAATTTAGGCCCATGCAGTGATGATAATCATTGCCCACCAAATTTATACTGTGTTAATGGTAGCTGCTGGCATTTGTCAAATAAACCGATACGAATACAAAGAAAACACGGTGAGTATGATGCATCTCTAGTCATTTTAAAATATCGACTTAAATTTATCAATTTTTTTTCTCAGTTTGATGATTTTGAATTTAAAAAACGAATGGAAGTGTGTGTGTCACACTTTTTTGTTTCTATTAATATATACTAAAAATTATAACAAGAAACTGCTATGTATTCTTATTTTATACATAATTTACGAAATCAATAAGTGCTAAACTAACTATTTGAAACATATTTAAATCATTTTCATTCATATATTTGATTATATTAACAGATAAAGTTGATGGATTAATTGAAAATTGAATTATTCATTTTAAGCTTTTTTTTTTCGCTAATATGCTTTTAATACTTCCAATATTTTGTTATTTTGAACAGTATCTCTTAAGTTTGATAATCATCTTGAAAGTTGTGCAAGAAACAATTTAGATTCATTAATGAATACGAAAGAACAGGACAGATCACATTTAGCGATACATCATCAGTTGTTTCGTTTAATGGGTACTGCAACAAGGTATATTTGAAAATTATATTTAAATCAAAAATTATTTAAACTATATTTTTCGTTGTGATTAACAATATTGTATCATATATAACAAATCTATTTACCATTTAATTTCAGTTTTTTAAAGTATAATACTTCAACCTTTGTCGTTTTTTTTTTTCAAAACAAATGATCTCACTTGTATGTAAAATATAGTATAAACAAAACGATATTAATAAGTGTGTAATAAACAAATTTCCTCCAAACAGTTATATTTTCAAGAAATAACGAACCATTATTTCAGCGAAGTGTTATCTAAAATTGAGACTACGACCAGAAATTTATCAGTATTTGGAAATTTAGATCTTTTTGATTACACAACTAGCACTACAGTCACAACAGCAGCAATAATACCAACAGTAACTACAACAGCTTTTCATCATTCATATACAGAACCAACAATTTCTAATGCTGTTTACTCAAATTTTTTTCTATTTAATTTTAATTCTTTCGAAAGATTAAAAAGAAAAAAAAGAAAGTAGTTACTAAAGTTTTGTTACTGTCAAATTAAAATTTTTCAAAATTTCTGAAAATTAAAAAAAATTCATAAATTTTATAGACGAAATTGAAAATGACAATTGGTAATTATCAAAAAGAGCAAAAACTAGTAGCAACAAATAATAGCAGAACAGGAACAGGTGGTTTTGTTTTCGAATTTTTTAAAATTTTGTTACATTTAAATTGAAAACTTAATATTGCGAAATGGATTTTATTACTGAGAGCTTTTTACTTCGTTCGCTGCTTACTTTGATATCCACTGCCTATTCATCACTCTAATCATTATTATCATTACTCTCCTTCTTTCCTATCATTCAGATGTCTTTTATGGAATACAATATTATTTCTTATGCTTTTCCTTATAATTAAAATTCGTCTCTCAAAACATTTCAAAAAAAAAAAAAAAAAAATTTAAGAAGTTTCTGATTTCTTAGGAATTAATTTACGGTAACAGGACAGAGTTAGCTGTTGCTGTTTCAAATATGTAATGATTTATATTTTAATGAGACATAAAAAGTAATTTAATTCTTCAACACATGATGTCCAGTGAGTAGTACCAAACTAATGGGAACTTCCAGTAGTTATTAATGAGCTAACCGAAATTGGTGTTATATGCTTCCTTCCAGAGTTATGTAAAGGCCGCTACAAAGGTTGAAAATTATCATTCTATTTTATCATTGTGAGTTAGACATGTTTGTAGATGGAGATAATTTATCGAAATCATCATTCATTGATTTACGGTTTTCAACTGAGTTTCCGGTTCAAACGGAATATATTCGAAAGCGACAACTTGATAAACCGATTCGCATTGAATTATATCTTGCTAGAGGTTAGCACAGAAGTTGTAAAATTTGAGAAGAAAATCAAAATGGTATCAAAAAAGTGACGGATGATTAAAATGAATGACACCTGTTGTATTAGTCGGAAAGGATATGTTAGCTAACTTAAAATAATATTAACTGAAATTGATTATCGCAGCTGTGCTAAGAGATGAATGCTCTCAAGATTCACATTGTGGTCATCGAATGATTTGCTGCCGAAAAACATGGTATGATTTAAGTGATGATTCCGGAATAGGGTATTTCTGTTTGCCGGACTGTGAATTCACCAAAAAGGTAAGTTTGGGAATACATGAAGCGAATGGATTGATACCAAATGATCTAATTTATGATTGATATATCTGCTGATTATGCCACTGATAAAAGTGTTTCTGTAACTGATTGAATTAACCACAATAATTTAATTAAAATTTCAGCATATCATTTGATTGGTCACAAATAACCTAATTAGGAAATGAAACAAATAATTAATTCAATTTGGGAACGGATAAAAATTGAATTTCTGATTCGAGCGTAAATAAATTGCCAAGATTGCATGTGTACTACAAATAATTTATACGAAATTGATCAAACATAACTGGCATAGTTCAAATAGAATAAATTAATTGACAAAAGTGAAGTCATCAAATTTTTGAATCAAAAACTAAAGCCATTATTGTAACAAGTAGTCTTGAAATTTTCCAGCAACCGAAGTTGCAACTTGACACCATGAAGTGACAATTTCCATTTTCGGCCATTCTATATTCACTTTCCTGACCCAAAATTCTCATTTTTTTTTTTAATTCCACTTCAATTAAGAGCAATCTTTTTTTCAGAAGTTTATTGTGTCCTTCAAATAAAACAACAAACATTTTATTATATCAAAAAAAAAAAAATCTTCCAAATTTACTGAAGAAAAAAAGACAGCAATAATAGCTCCTTCGTCATAAAACAGACAGTAATAAAAATAAAAATATATCAAGAACATCTAATTTTGTCATCTTTGTAAATTGATGGGTTCAAAAAATATTTTCAAAATAAATTAAAAATATAATTTGCAATAAGAAAGGGAAAGGGAAGAAGAGAAAGAGAGAGAGAGAGAGAGAGAGAGAGAGACCGGCACTTCTTCAACACAACAGCAGCAATTCTTCTAAACTTTAAACTTTTTTCCCCTTGCATGAAATTCGATGAAATCTTTATCGAAACATTTATGAAAAAATAAAATGGTAAAATACTTTCACATTATAAACTTTTTCACTTTAATAAACAAAGATTTGATGCTCATCGTTGAGACAATTACTTGTTCATGGAAAATTTCGATGTTTATTTTGCAACTACAGAAATTCAACAAGCATTCCTAATACCACAGAGGAATAAAAAAGAGAAGAAAACTCGGTAAGTTAGACCTGTTTATCGACAGCACCGGAGAGTTAAACATAGTAACAAAATTTTTACCTAATTTCGAAAATTAACTTACTTAAAAAAACGATGATCATAAGTGGGATTAGAGGTTAGGAGTAAAGCAGGATGGGTAGATTTGATTAAAATTGAAAAGATTAAAATTCCAAATTTTAATTCCGGATCGACAATTTATCAATATTATCAAATTCAGCATAATGAAAAGGCACACAGTTGAAATAGTAACGATCGAAAAACTGATGTACCACTTTCTTTTTTTGGATTTTCTAACCTTTCAATTATCAAGGAAGAAATGTGATTCCACGCAGATCAAATTAACAGATATGACAAATGCGTCTATACCGAAAAAAACGAAAAAAAACTTTCATAACCATATTTTCCTAAAACAAGAGAGAGAGAGAGAGGAAAAGAAAGGAAGAAAATAGGGAAAACAGTTACAGAATAAAGAAAATAAAATGAAAACCTCGCACAATGTGAACCTGTATTAAAATTTACAGTTCAAAATAATTTGAATTTGAAAAAAATGACAAATATTAAAAAAAAAATCAAGGAACAAAAGAAAAAACACCATCAACAACGAGGTATATACAAATAAAAAAGAAAAAAAGACTTGCACAATCAAAAATAGGAAAAAAGATTATACCAAGAAAAATATTCTTGCAAAAAAGGATCAAAAAATTCAACAATTTCGAACAAAACTGATAATTTGTGCATGAGAAATTAGTAATTTTCTTGGAAAATCAATTATTCATTTATTTATTCAAAAAAAAAAGATCGAGAAAACTTTCCTTTTTATTAAATCACACAAGCAAACTCGAATTATCACCGATATTTCACATTTGAGAATAAACACGCAGCAAAACCAGAAATGCATGGGAAAATATGGTTAATGGAAGAAAAACTGGTTTTTAAAAAGTAAATTATTTCTGATTTAATCGAAATTCAGGCTAGTATTGGTGTAAATTTTTAAGTGTGATATTAAACAAAAAAGAAAAGAAAAAACAGAAGTCAATGAACTGGAATTTTAATAACGAAATTACGAAAAAAAGGCAAACTGAATTAGGAAGAATAAGCCAGTGACTTCTATTGACTTCTGAGGCTTTCCTTTCTTTGATAAAAATTTGGAAAAGAAATTTTAGTACAGACGGAGAAGGAAGTTATTGCTGACAAAAAAAAAAAAAAAATGAAGAAAAAAGAACAAAAGATATGGCCTTATGAACAAACCATTATGATATCTAGACGAATCGAGATAGTGAATCAATTAATTCCTCATGAATTAACAAATTAAATTATACTGCATTACTGTTAATTGAATCTATCTTTGAGGATAAATTAAGAGGAAAAAATTTTCTGAGAGAAAAATTCAGAATTCTTCCCAAATCCTTTTCAAAAAAAAAAAGAGAAAAAGAGAAAAGAAGAGAAAAACCAATTAAATCATATCAGAAATAGTATAAAACGTAATCAAAATGATGTAAGCTATGAAACGACACAAAAATGTAGGTTTAACAATATTGCTAATTAAATGGCAAACGAAAAATTGATTCATTCAAATTTCTCGGACGAAACAGAAGAATTCTCAAAAAAAAAAATTTTTTTTCCTATTGATTTAGTTTTTAAGAAAATTAAATGAAAAATGGTACATATAATAATACTAAATTAAAAACAAACATCAAAAATAAAAGAAAAAACACCTAAATAAGAAATAAACATATATTTTGAAAAAAAAAATCACCGGTACAGTTCACATCGGCAACCTGCCAACAATATTTGCCTTGCCGAGAGAAGAAAACAATGAATAAAATTGTTTTGATAAACATATATATTGGAATCACTGAGAATTAAGTTGGCCCAGCAAAATGTAATGTAACAAAGTAAAGAAAAAAAAAGGAAAAAACAAGAATTTCATTTATTTAAAAAAAGAACTACAATATGATTGATAAGAATAGCAAAAAGAAGTGATATAAATTTGACCTATTTAGATGGATTGATTGAATTTAGTCCTTTTTTCTTAATTTTGAAGAGAGAGAGAGAGATGGAGAGTGAGAAAGAGGAAGAGAAAATTGATGATGAAAGTCATCAGGATAATAAGAGAAGAATAGAAAGATGGTAGATGGTGGCAGGTTAAGTCATATAAGAAAATGATAATAGTGATAACGATTAAGAAGAACAATGAGAAATTTCAGCGAAAGGATAATGAAATAATAATTAAATTATATTCGTTTCCTATTCAATAGTTACTAATTTTTTTTTTTTTCTTTTCAATTACGCGACTAAAAAGTGAACCGTAATAGTAAGAGAAATTATAAAACTGTGATTAAAAATTGAAATTTGTTTCCAAAAAGCCTAAAACCCGTGAAGGCAGAAAACCTCAGGAAAAGAAAAAATTCGTTACTATTTGGTTTAATTTAAACATAATTTTGATTACGTCATATTTTAGGTTAAATTTTCCTAGGAAAAGAGAAAAGAAACTAAAATGAAGTCGCCAGAAGCGAAAAAAAATTTTTTTGTTAAAAGGTAAAAAAAGGAAGCGCCGTGAAAAATTTTCACTTCATTTTTTATTTTACTTTGAACAAATGCACATGCATATATTTGTATAGATAATTGAAATAACTTATAATTTATTTGATTTCTCACCGTTTCTTATTATCTCCTGATTTATTCGCGGTTTAAAAATTTTTTCTGTTTTCTTTGAATCATAAACGAAATGAAAATAATAAAAAGAATAAGGGAAACAAAATTAAACCTAAGTTTTTTAAAATAAATGTTTATAGTATGACATATAATAACCATGCTGCCCGCAAGTCCTTACTTCGCTCTTAAAACAATCAATTCGTTCCTTCCATTCATTCATCCATTAATGATAATGATAAAAATGAAATTTAAAAAAGGTAGGAAAAGAGAAAGGAGTAAATAACTAAGTGTATCCAACTTTAATGATAAATTAGGAGAGGAGGGGAAGAAAGATGAGGGAGAGATAAGGATGTAATTTTGTCTTCTTTACAACTTTCAAAAATAAAACAATAAAAAAAGAAGAGAGAAAAGAAAGCGAAAAAAACACGAATAAATGAACAAGATTCGTTAAAAACACGCATGCATGCATGTTTTTAACGAATCAAAAATAAGAATTTTCAACAGAGATCCAATGAAGAAAAAAAAAAAAAGAAAACATTGAGTTAGTTTGTTTGTGCTGATATTTCGTATAATTTTAAGATAAAGAGTTGGGGCTTTTTTTAATGACTGAATATGAGTGATTTAGTGGGACAATATGAAGCGTTGACAAAGACGATGACAATGATGACAGCTATGACGAAGATACAAAATGCAAGTTTCGTATATTCGATTCCTGAGTGCATTAATTATAATAATTAGTAACATCCGATAAAATGCATTTGACAAATTACATTATGGTAGAATAAAACACTGCAGGAATCCCTGAAAACAACTAATTGTTGCACACATACATATACACACATGCACACACACACACACACACACAAATGTATAGCATATGTAGATAAATTAAAAAAGATTAAATTAGGTCACCTTAGCAACAACTCAATGACAAAAATTTGCATCAGTCAACAAAAAAGAAGCGGAGAAAAAGGTAAGGAAAGAGAGAGGGAAAAGGAAAAAGGATAAAATACTAGTGAGAAGTAATAATTGATCCAAATATTAATTAGTAGGGTTTCAAAGATCAATTCAAAATATGACTTTTGAAAATTTCTTGATTTATAAATTTTTAAGGAGAAATATCCCAGTTATTGTTACTTCGTCAATATGACAGTACTGTCAGATTTCAACTTAAAATAACACTTCTCAGACCTTAGTCGTATCCGTGGACCTATGCACATTAGGAAAACATAAATGTTGACTGGGCTTCGCTCTTAATTGGGAATGACAGAGAGCCGGAAGATGAGAGTTGCTGCTGGGTACTTGTTGGTGAGATAGACATCTTTGGAGTTCCCGGTATGTGTTCTGAATCCAGAAACGGATTATTGGTTGTTGCTGCTGTTGTTGCTGCTGCACCGCTTAGGCTCAGAGGTAGCAAAGGTGATACGCCAAATGCTGCCGCTTTTATGGCTGCAGCTGTTGCAACGCTGACAATCGGCATTTGGGAGGAAAAAAGTGCCGGATTCGAGAGTAATCCGTTTAGCAACGGCATTTTGGCACCGAGTAATGATGCCGGCAACGTAGCTGCGATAGGATTAACTCGGTTAGCAACTTCCGCCAGCTGCTGCAGTGATGTTAGTAGGCCCTAAAGATGAAAAAAATAAAATTCAGTTAATTTTTTCATTTGAAAAAATTAGTTAAATCAATTAGAAACAATAAATAAATCAATCATATAATTTCATCTAAGTCTTTTTCATCGTCAAAATCTAGGCATAACAATGAAATGCATTTTCGGAAGCTCCAAGATGAGCAGGTACCATTATAATTTATACAGATCTGTAAATTTCCAATATTTTGACGGATATAAATAATCGCAATCAATTAAGTGTATCAGTGGATTCTGCCAAAGATTCTACAACTTAACGGAATGAATAATACCTGTTGGTAAAAATAAGCATTCAGCAGATTCTGCGTATAACATTTATAGTCGTCGCTTGTAAAAGATGATGAATCGAAGGCAGCACCTACAAATGCTGCCGAACTTGTCGGCGTAGATAATGTAAGTAGTGGATTTTGATTGGTATTATTATTATTTGATCCAGAAGTACCTAAAATAGCTGCTGCTGCTTCTACTTCTGCTAAAGTTGGTTTCGACAAATGATGGCTCAGTGTCGAAGTGTACGATGGCTGTGGTTTAAAAACTGATTGTGTCGAGATCTGGAAGTAAATTTAATGGTAAGCAAATGTTTCAATAATAATTTATCTTTAAAAAGTTCATAAATAATAATTTTATCCGATAATGGTGTTAAAAGTAAACAATGAAGTTTTATTACTCACCAACAATGAATCAGTAACACTAGCTCGGAATTCATTACTACTACTATAAGTACCATCAAATGAACAATGAGCAGGACTTGTACTTCCGCTGTCGTCACTAATTATTCCACTTCCATCCGTGAATCCGTTAGTATCAGCTCCTACTGCTGAAATTAAAAGTGAAATATATTGAGGAAAATAACGGAACACAAATTTTGGTTTTTCTTTTTGTCCTGGAATATATATAAGATCACTGGAAAAGATAAGTGACAATTTCCATTGCAAATAGGTAGAGAAATAAATTCACAAACAAAATCAAAGAAATAATCAACACAATGAATCAGGTCATTTCTGTGCCGATAATACAGTATATATATATCGATAATACATCTTTGAGTAGTCACTACCTGAGTTTCTTCAAAGATAACACGTTACGGTTTCAAACAGATTCTAATACATAACACGACCGTAGTACATTTATTTAGGCATTTCTTCAAAGATAATAAAGTTAATGATGTTAACCGCTAAATCCATAATACTTACTACTAGCCAACACCATAACTGTTTATTTCATATGGGTTTAGGGTAATTAATTAATTAATTACATTTATCATTATTAAGTCAAACTATCAAGAAGTTAAAATAAACTATTTTCACAAGATAAAAGAACAGCAAAATAAGCTTGTTTTATTGAAATAGGGACAACAGGTTGCTATGCTTTTCATGCATAATTAGTATACAGTCGGATACTGAACAAATAGATTTCAATAATCCGTAATAGATATAATACGCAACTAATAATGTCGCATGGATGGCTAACATTATTATTAACAAATGTAAGAGAAATTCTGTTATAACTAAACTATAATCCATCATTAGATGATTTGATAGATGGAGTAAAAAAGAAATTTAATTGTTGAAATCACTGTTTAGAAGGAGAAATAATTACCACAATTCAGGATACCATTCGCGGTACCATCAATAGACGATAAACGACCATTAAATTGGCCACCTGCTGCAGCTGCGCTTGCTGATGCGGCACGAGCGCCTGAGCGATTTGTCACTCGGTTACGTCGTCGTAACGTTTGTTTATCACCTAGCTCTGGTACAACAGTCCAGAAATGACCTAAAATTTGATATCAGTTTAAATAAGACATAAATGGTAAATATTGGAAGAGGGAGACAGATTTCAACTTGTAATCTCGAATTGGAAATATCACCGACATCTGATATAACTATTGAAATTTCAAAGAAAATGAAGAAAATAGAAAAAAAGCTATAGAAAATTTTAAAAAAAAATAAAAACTAGGAAAACATTTACCAACAACACCGCTAGCAGATGTTTGTTTTAGAGGTAACTTAACGAAGCAATCATGCAAACTCAAATTATGACGTATCGAATTTTGCCAACCCCACTGATCCGGTCGTAAACGATAATATGGATGTGTCATACGGATCACCTATAATTTGTTGACATTATCTGAAGTTTACTAATAATACGTGTATTATGTTTTTTAAATAATCAATAACTAATGAAATAATTTATTTCTTATTTTTTTCGAGAATAATGAAAAATTTTTCAATTTTTTACTTATATAATAAACAACACAAAATCTGAAACAAAAACTTATTTCCTAAAATAAAATGGAAGATAAAGAAATATAAATATAGAAATCAGTGGATGTAATAAGCTCATCCTACAACTCCTGGATCAACTTATACCTATATTTTTGGAACCTATATTTTTTTCATACAATTGTGGTATTTGAAAATCAAGATGAAGAGAGAAACACAGAGAAAGAGAGAGAAGGAGCGGAAGGAGAGAGAAAAGGAAAAGAGTGCTTTCTCTCAGAAATTGTGACTGACAAATCCAGTTATAATTAATAAATCATTTTACTATTTTCTTTTTTCCCATCAGACATTTCAAGACAATTATTATCATTATCTGAGAGAGATTTGATCTGAGCAATAAAGAAAATTAAAATATAAAAATAAAAGTTAGCAAAAAGCGGAATAAAAAGTGGAAATTTCCATGTTTTGCGTCTTTTTCTACTTCAAAATTTAAGTCTAAATTTTTTCCTTTTCACTTTCAGTATTTCTTCGATGTAAGAAAAAACAAGTATTATCAATAAATGAAATTTGTAGCTGCCTAAATGTTTTTGATGGACAAAAGATTTCTTTTCTTTTCTTTATAAAAAATTATAACAGAGAGAAAAGAAAAAAAAAATGGAACGAAAAGTGTTTTGCTTTATTTCTAAAATATTTTCCTGCAATGTTTTTTTTTTTTTTTGTTTTTTTTTTGTTTTGTTTTGCTTAAGAAAATCCATGAAAAGCATTTCGGGAAATCACAGAAAAAATGTTTTCTTTTCCTTTTCTTTTTCTATTTATGACAAAAAAAAAGAAAGAAAGCATACTTGATAAATTTCATTCAGTTTTAACCGTTTTTCGGGACTACTTTCAATGGCCTCAATGATAAGATCTTTATAGCTTAAACTTGGCCGTTCAGCTTTTTCCATCGTCGCTAGTGATGGATCAGTAATCGATTTGCTATTAACGCCCGGACTTGCGGCAATTCGAATCCTTGACTCGGGAGTGGTACTAGGCTGTTCGACGGTTGATGAAGACGGTGATACGGTTGCCAACTCATCAATTACTGGTGTAGGCTCGGATTTCACTGATCCGGTGCTTTTGTTATCTTCCTGAATATCGGACATAATACTGCTATTAGCAATATTGCTACTGTTATTGCTGATATCACTGTTGTTACTATCGCTGTTGCTAATGTTGTCACTATTGTTGTTATTGTTGTTGCTATTATTGTTATTGTTGCTGCTATCGCTGCTGCTACTGTTATTTCCCAGAACTGCTGAACCAATTAAATCCATTAATTCCAGGGCGCTACCAATATTGGCAGCTTTTTGCGGTGATGGGGGACAGAACTCCAGCGTGATAAGTCCGTTGTTTGTCGGTTTCCTTTTTCGTTAATCAATTCCAATTAAATAATGTTAATAGTAACAGGAATGTAATTCTATCTGATAAAGAGGACCTGTCTCTTCGCTTGAGCAAATTACTGATTTTTCCTGAAATATTAAAAATAAAATAATGGTAATCAAATTAAATAACCTAAATGTATATTCAGAGATTGAGAAAGGGAGAGAGAGAGAGGAAGGGAAAAAAAATTGAACACGCGTACACATTTACACAAATTCCCGGGAAAGTAATGAAAGCATTTACTTAAATGATGCTTTAGAAAACTGTCAGTTATCCAAAATTATTAGTACTTTATTATTACTCTTTATTGTCTTTGTTTTTTTCAATATTCATTTATTATTATTATTAGTATTATTATCATTATTATTACTAGTTAATTACTGCATTGATAAAATGTTATATATTTGTACAGAACAGAAACATGTTTGGTGGAATAATACTATGATAGTGTTGTGAAGGACAAAATGATTAATGGACAGCATTAACGGAATTAGCTGTCATGAAAGTAAAGTAAAACGCGTTCGCTATATAATGAAGCAATAATCCGAAGATGATTCACATCGCTATATTAGAATTAGTATGAATCATTACAATTAACTTTAGGATAACGATTATAATATATGGGAAATATAAATAATTAAATTATGAACGAAAAATTGATCATCTCCTATAATTTAGCAGGAAGAGCAAAACTGATTAATTAGATAATGAATTAGGGAAAATGTTTTATTCAATTAAATTAATATCTACACTTTCAATTGTGGATGACGAGAAAATAAGAGCAGATATTAACATCAAAGTCTCTTCGAGATATTTATACATTATATTTCTCTTCTTTGCGGATATGGGTTTATTATTCACTTTCAATATTGAAAAATGGAGAGAAAAAAAAAATAAGAGAAAAAGAAAAAACTTTGCCGGGCACTTTTTTTTTTCATTTTTAAAACAGAAAAAAAAAACGGAGAAAAGGATTGTTCGATATTTCGAGGTGCTTTTCTATTCCAAAAGTATCAATCCTTATCAAAGAAAAGCTAGTGCATTAACCTGATTCGATTGTGGCTTAATTTTAAACCGACAACACAACTAATATTTAATCTTCCAGCAAAAGATGTACTTTGTTTTATCTGAAATCATGTCAAATAAACGTGTACCAGCAAAAAGTTTAATTTGAGATAAATGAGTTATTTTAATGAAACAAATAGTAAACAACAATGGAAAAGTATTAAGAGTAACATCAAAAGAATGAAAGATAAAAAAGAAATAGTAAAGAAATGTGAAATAAGACATGAAGGGAGGGAAGGAGAGAGAGAGAGTGAACATAAAAAGAAGAAGGAAAGAAATTGGAGAGTAATTTCAAAGTAAGTATTGTTTTTTTCTTCGCCTTCTCTTTCTCTCTCTTTTCCTTGCTCATTTTTTGACGTTGTTATTGGAAGGACTACTTGCTTGATTGTTTCAATCCATTACTTTCGTCTTCTTATTGTAAAGGAAAAAACGAAAAAGGGAAGGAGAAAGAGAGAGAATTTGAAAAGATTTAGGAAGGGCTGAGGAAAAAAAAGGACAAAGTATAAAAAGTTGATGCAATTTTAGTGGAAAAGAGAGAGAGAAGGAAAGGGAGAGGGAAATGAATGTATAAATATGAGTATGCTGCTCGTTCAAGGAAGTACTAATATTTTTCCTTCCTACTTTCGCTTATTCAGCAAAAATATTAGAAAGAATATGATGTATTTGTGTGTGTACATATATATGTACGCATGTCCGTGTATGTGAGTGTGTGTTTCTGTATGTCAGAGTATGTGTATGTGTATTTATGTGAGAAGTTTCAGTTTTCATATTTTTCATTTGCTTTTAATGATATCTATCCAACCAACCCTTTTGTCTTTTACCTTCTACTTTTCTTGCACTTCTAGAAGAACAACAGAAGTTTGCGTCAACAAAGGACGTTATTGTTGTTGGACTGAAGTGGATGAGGAAGAGATGAAGGAAAGAAAAGACGGAAAATGAAAACCGGAAAATAAGGAATCGGGAAGAGAATTTGTTGTGGGTAAAGAATGGAAGAGAGCCGAAAGCGGAAAAAACGAACTGAAATGGATGAGAGACAAAATGACGGAGGGATTAAATATACTAAACTGTGAGTGAAATAAAAATGTACAAAATGACAGAACTAAGCTAACAAGGTTCGATAGATAAAAATGGCAAAAAATAGGTTAATATCAGAAGTAAGAGCACGAAGAGTGGAAAGGATATTTAGGTAACAGAAAATTTTAGATCGATTTTTGGTAAATTTACAAAAAAAGAGGATGAAAAAAACAATAATAAAGAAAACAAAATGAGGAAAATAGATGAAAAGGAAAAAGAACAGTTTATTTCAAGTGTTTGTTTAAATAAAAAAAAAGAAAAGAAAAAATAATTTTTGTGTTTATTTAAAGTAAATTGCTCTTAAGATGAAAAAAGAAAAGGAAAACAAAGGTCTTAAAAGAAGCGAGAGAAAATAAAACAGACATTATGGCATAAATCTGAAAGATGCAGACAAGAGAAATGGATGAATAATTGGATAAATGGAAAAAAAAATTAAAGAAGAATAATTAATCATTTCATAAACAATAAATATGTAATTAGATACATAAGCATATAAATTAGTATATAAACAAATAAAAATATATAAATGAATAAATAAAAATAAATATATAAAGAAATTTAGGAAAAATTGGCATTGCTTAAGCATTAAATTTGGTCAAATAACAGTCAAACAATACAGCCAAGAGATTGCTTTAACAATAATTAAGGGAATACTGATGACAAATAAAATAATTCTGAGATTTCGTTTATTCAATTTTTTTTTATGAACCCCGAAAATGTCTATTACACTGAGATCTTAAAAAATGTTAATTTGAAATATACGATAGAAAAAAAAAAAGAAATAATTGTGAAGAACTGAAAAGATAATAATGATTATGCTAAATGGTGACAATATTATTCATCATAATATTGAGTAAGAAGAAAATGAATCATAACTCCATAATAATAATGATAAGAATGAGCTGTTTAACAGTAGCAGTAAATGATGACAACATATCACTTGTTATTGTTGTCAGTTATCACTCAGAGTAATATTAATAATATTTAATGGTGATTAACAACCAGTGGTAATAATAATAATAACATTAATTGTAAATAATGATAATAAATAATAATAACGACAAGATATTTATGATGTATTGCGATCAAAAATAAAATACCATATACAAAGCGCATAAATTTTCAATTATATTCGGTCCACTAATATAGTGCAGCGATAATAACGATAATAAGGAATATAACAGTGATGCTAATAACGATTACAATGATAGTAACAACGATAATAGCTGATGTATTGAAGCAATAAATTTCAGAAATAATTGATCAAAATTCACATCTAATTTAAAAAAAGAAGAAAGAAATGACAAGAAAAAGTGAACTTACATTGTTTTTCTTGCAAAGAGGAAGAAGAGAAAATAAAGATGATGATAATGATGTCGAGAACGGTAAGTGCTAATGATAAAAGTAGTGATGATATTCGTCATCGTCATTATCAACTCAAAACTGCTGAAATATTCAACACGCAGCGGTAGTATCAGCAGCTTATCATATCTTCATTGCCTTCTCTGCTTTTTTTTTCCTTTTTTAAATAAAAACAGAAAGCTTTCCAACAGTCCATGCTCTCGTACTTAAGTGGCACAACATACTAATTATTTTAACTGTATCTGTTTCAGTTGATAATCACCAAAACGATTTATTATGATGTAAAGTAATCCATGATTAATTTATGTAGCGAAAGTACTTATTTCTTATATTAATTAGAGCTCAAACGTAATTTGAACTTAAATTCAAAACTGGAATTACTTCAAAGTGTTATTAAGGAAACAAAGGTGATGATGATGATATGGATAAAAAAATTAAAATTAAAAATGAGAACGGCTGTACTTTTCATATGCATGCAGGAATTTTTACATAAAGGTACAAATTAAAAAAAAAATAAATAATGATAATGGTAATAATAATAATAGTAGTAATAGTAATAGCAATAATAATAATAGTAATAATAATAATATTTACGCCACTTGCTAAATAATACGGATGGTAAGCATACTATAGGAAATTTAATTGCCTTTATATCCAAACTTACAAAATTTAATTGACTATGTTTGTTAAAATTGTAAAGAAATGTTAGCCTCAAAGATTTAGCCGTTTACGTCAATAATAAATTGTGTAGATCATTTCTTAGTGTAATATTTCACTCTAACGAATACCCCCAAAAAAAGAAAATGATGACAAATTTGCCACCCTATTTGATGTAATTTTATAGTATAATCAAATAGGAAAAATGAGAATTTGATAGTTGAAATAATATTAATAATGCTGGTTAACTAATGTTTCCAACTCAAAAAGGACAACTTTGAATATTAGTTAGCCAGTCATGCCTAAGGACTTTTCATTTCACATAGCAACCGCTTTTATCAAATACAACTACTTTTTTTTTGTTTTTTTTTTCTTCTAAATATAAATGAAAATGAAATCTTCAAAATGATTAAATAACTCTAATGAAACCTTAGCAACAAGAAGCGTACGTCAATAACATGCAATGTTATAAAAGTATCAAGCACAAACTTGAAGCCTCAACTTTCAAATCTAGGTAAGACACTATGCACCTTGATTATATATCTGTACAGTAAATTGAATAATTTGCCTACAAATATTCTTAACAACGTAAGTGATTAAATCACTTTTCTTTCTTTTTTTTAAGTCGGCAAATGAATTATCAATTTGCAAAAACAGTAAATATACAGTTCATATTTATAATTCAGGAAAAAAAAAGTTTTTTTATGTTTCCTGAAATGTTTGCAAACAGCAAGTGTTT